TTTCCCACCACCCACAACGTGTGACGGGACAGGGTTGCCCCCCAGGCCCGCGGCGAATGGCAGCAGGACGGGACGCCCCGGCCCCGGCATGGAGCCCCCGCGCCTGCCCCTCACCCCCCAGGCCACCACCCCGGGGCCCGAGTCCCCCGGCCTGGAGCCCTGCGGCCTGGAGCCTGAGCGCGGCTATGATGCTGTCCCTGCTGCTGTCTGCGCCCTGGGCTGCGTCTTCGGGGTCGTCTACAGCTGCTTCGGTGAGCGCTCACCCGAGCCCCCCAGCCCCAGCTTGCTGGGACCCCTCGCTCCTGACTTGCAGCCCCTCCAGCCCACCGGTGCCTCTCACTCCTGCCCTGTAGCCCCTACCCACCCAGTCCAGCTGGTGCCCTTCCCTCCTGACCTGCAGCCCCCTGCCCCCCCAGGCTACCGCTGCTTCAAGGCTGTGATGTTCCTGATGGGGCTGCTGGTGGGCGCAGCAGTGGTCCTGGCACTGTGCTCCCAGGAACGGGACGCACGGCTGAGCCTGGCAGCAAGTGCAGGGCTGGCGCTGGGCATCGGGGTGCTGTGCGGGCTGGTCACACTACTGGTGCGCAGTGCTGGGCTCTTTCTCACCGGGCTGCTGCCAGGGCTGCTGCTGGGCGCCGCGGGGCTGGTGGCAGCCGAGCCCCTGGGCCAGCCCCGCAGTGCCTGGGTGCCCGGTGGCTGCCTGCTGGGCCCAGCCCTGTTGGGTGCGCTGCTGGCCCTGCGCTGGCCTAAGGCGCTGACCGTGCTATCGACGGCTGCGGGCGGGGCCGGAGTCGGCGTGGTGGGGGGCTGGCCCTGCGCTGGTCTAAGGCGCTGACCGTGCTATCGACGGCTGCGGGCGGCGCTGCTGCCGTCGTGCTGGGCCTTGACTACGGGACCCAGCGCCTGGCCCTGGGGCTGCACATCTACGACTGCCTGCGCCTAGCACTCTCCGCACCCCTGTGCTGGCCCAGCTGGGCCCTGCTGGGCGCTTGGCCCATGCTTAGCCTGCTGGCGGCACTACTGCAGTGGAAGCTCACGGCCCGCGGCTTCTCCCACACCCAGGGTGAGTGGGGATGGGGACAGGGGGAAGGGGTCTTGAAGATCCTGGAGCACCAGGATCAGAGACCCCAGCTCAGAGTTACTGGCCTATGGCCCCTGCTGCCTTCTTTGGGGCCTAGCTGGTGCCCCGTACCCCCAACCCACAGCCCCATGCCAGCCCTGCAGGTGCCCCTTACTCGCAACCCATAGGTAATAGGTCAGAATAGGTGTGGGGGTGGAGATGTGGGAGCCCAGATGCCTGGTTTCTTGGCCCCCAGCTCTGGGCAGGGAAGCGGGGTTGGGAGCCCGGACACCCTGCATTCTCCCATCAGCCAGGGACTTCCTAGTGGACACAGCCTTCGCTCTCCCATGCCTTGCTTCCCCTTGCAGGTGCTCTGCACCAGGGGGGTGGTGGGG